TAGGAGTGAGAAAAGTATAGTAGTGATGTCGAAAGCATTCTAATAGTAATTATTTTAGTTAAATATGCTTTTTTTTTTTTTTTTTTTTTGAGATGGAGTTTAACTGTTGTTGTCCAGGCTGGAGTGCAATGGCACAATCTTGGCTCACTGCAACCTCCGCCTCCCGGGTTCAAGAGATTCTCCTGCCTCAGCCTCCCGAGCAGTCATGCACCACCATGCCTGACTAATTTTGTATTTTTAGTAGAGACGGGCTTTCTCCACGTTGGTCAGGCTGGTCTTGAACTCCTGACCTCAGGTGATTCGCCCACCTTGGCCTCTGAAAGTGCTGGGATTACAGGTGTGAGCCACTGTGCCCGGCCTCGCATAGTTCTTATGACTTACCAATTCCATGTTTGGGTGTATGAACAAAACAAATTGTCAGGCACAAGTCATTTGGTGTGTGTACAGATGTTTATTCTCCCTGCTTGCAGGGACAGGGATCTGAAGCCTCCTGGGAACCCATCACTGGTGAGTGAATTGGGAAAATGTAAATGCATGCTACCAGATGTACACATACCATGAGCATATCCCAAAGACAGTGCTACAAGAAATGAGAGAAACAAGCAGAAGTAATCCACAGCACGATATCATATATGTAAATTAAAATGACAGTCATACAAAACAATTCATGTTTTGCAAGAAAACAAATTAAAGAATCTATATTGCATTGGTTTCCTAGGGCTGTTAGGAGCTACCACTAACCAGGTGGCTTAAAACAAAAGAAGTTATTCTCTCATAGTTTTGGAGGCCAGAAGTCCAAAATTGAGGTGTCAGCATGGTTGGTTCCTTCTGGGCCTCCAAGGAAGAATCTGTTCCATGTCTCTCTCGTAGCTTCTGATGGTGCTGGCAATTCTTGGTCTTCCTTGGCTTGTAGATGCATCAGTCCAGTCTCTGCTTCTGTCTTCCTTCTCTGTGTGCCCACGCCTCTCTTTGCATTTACATTTCTCTCTTTTTATAGGGACACTAGTCACATTGGATTTAAGGCCTGCCTTACTCTAGTGTGACTTGACTTCAACTTGATTATATCTGCAAAGACTCTATTTCTCTATTTCACAGGCTCTGAGTGGACATGAATTTTGACGGAACACAATTCAATTGGGTACATAGAGCAAATATATGAGAATGGCTGGCCACACAGGGGAGGGAATGGGAATAGGAGATGGAATACACAGGCATAAACAATGGCCAAGCAAGAGGTGAGCCTGGACACAGCTGGCAGTGGTGTGCACATACTAAGAGCCACACAAGGAAACTTCTCTGTATCCATTTTGGCTCTAGATTCAGGAAAACAACAGCAACAAAACCAAAACAAAAAACAGTAATAAAAACAAAACCTTGCCTGGCTAAATTTTTCTTTTTTTTGGCACGGTGGCACACGCCTGTAGTCCTAGCTACTCGGGAGGCTGAGGCAGGAGAATTGCTTGAACCCAGGAGGCAGAGGTTGCAGTGAGCCGAGATCATGCCATTGCACTCTAGCCTGGGCAACAGAGCAAGACTCTATCTCAAAAAAAAAAAAAAAAAAAGTCTCCTGAGGATTCTTGACCCCCAGTCTGACTTTCACATGGGTTTGAGGATAGAATTTACACTATCCAACAATTCCAAAAGATCCCAAGCAAAAACTGAGTTAAAAGTAGTAATGATTTGGCAATGCCTTCTGCCATTTTGCCAAAGTAATTATAAATCCTCTTCGAAGAAAAAATAACCTCTTAACTCAGGCTTCAAAGAACTTCTACAGCCAAAGTTCCTCAAAAGTCAAGAGAGGTAAAACAGAACATAGAACTTCCGCACAAGTAAAGGAAGAATATGGAATAAGACAATCAAGGAAGGCAAACACAGAAAAGTAGTATAGAAAAACAACTTATAGAAAGCACAAAGACTAAAATGGACTCAAATGTATCAGCGTTCAAAATAAATATAAATCATTTAAACTTGCCAGTAGAGACAAGTTGTCAGAACAGATGAAAAAGAAACAGAACCCAGTAATATGCTTTTTACTTGAAACATGAGGATCCAGAAAGTTTTAAAACATATAAATGGAAAAAAGTTTTTAGCAAGTAGTCCATGAATGCTCATTTGTGAAGCTTTATTAATATCAGGCAAAAATATGCTTTAGGGCAAAAAGGTCTTACCAGAGTAAATGCAGAATATAAGATGGATTCAAATGAAAAATGGATTAATGCTATTCATTAATTGCATTAATTAAAAAATAATTATTGTAATAGATGTAGAAAAGTTATTCAATATAATTTGGCATTTATTCATAAGTATTCTTAAACTAGAAGAGAACTTTCTTAATCTGATGAAGGCACTTCTCAAAATAATCTACAACTAATCTCATACTTAATGATAAGCTATTGGAGACAATTTATTTTTATTTTATTTTATTTTATTTTGAGACGGAGTTTGGATCTGTCGCCCAGGCTGGAGTGCGGTGGCGCAATCTTGACTCACTGCAACCTCCGCCTGTCAGGTTCAAGTGATTCTCCTGCCTCAGCCTCCTGAGTAGCTGGGATTACAGGCACCTGCCACCACGCCTGGCTAATTTTTGTATTTTTAGTAGAGATGAGACTTCACCGTGTTGGCCAGGCTAGTCTCGAACTCCTGACCTCAGGTGGTCCCCCTGCCTCGGCCTCCCAAAGTGCTGGGATTACAGACGTGAACCACCGCGCCTGGCCCAAGACAATTTATTAATAGGAACAAGACAATCATTCCTGCTTTAGCTGCATCTTTTAAACTTTGTACAGTAATCCTAAACAAAGTAGCAAATTACAGTAGTATAAGGATTATCATCATTTGGACATGAATATACAGAAAACCCCATGAATATACAGAAAATTTATATTGATGTAAAATGAATACACAACACAAAATTGCATTTCTAAGCCACCATTAGAATATGTGATTTCAAAGGATATAATTTAAAATAACATATACAAGTAAAGTGCTTTGGAAATCTAAAATGTTCAAGAGTTTTACAGATAAAACATATTCAACGTTATTTAGGTCTTTAAAAAACTTAAAAGAAGCACAATGTTTATAGATATGATGTCTGGATGTCATAAATGGATTAACATTCTCCAAATTGATTTATAGAAATTCTAACTGGACTCTCCTTTAGATGACCACAAACTGGTTCTGAAATTTCTATGGAAGGTCAAGGGACCAAGTATAACCAGGGCATTCCTGAAGAAGAAAACCCAGGAGGATGTTTGCCTGATACAAAGATTTAACACGAAGCTACAGTTATTAATTAATATATCGAGAGTCCTCTTGGGCAGGACTTTCTACCAGGTCTTCCCTGAAAAAGCCACTTACCTTTCTGTGGCCACCTGCGGCAGCAACTTGCTTCCAATGCTCTGCCAGCAGGCAGGGAGCATCATCTATAGCTGCTTGCCCTTGGCTGTTATCAGGTGGGAGTAAGATGCCAATCCAATCCCACAGACGCTGCAACCCTCAAATTCTGTGTTAATACTTTTGATGTTGCTCCACTAGCTTGAGGTGAAGGGACAGACACTGCAGTCCCCTCTCCTGTGGAGATGGGTGGGAACCTCTACAGCCAGCTCCATGCCTCCAGGGAAATTGATGGTGACCAGCCCATGCAGGCAGAAGCCGCTTGGTGCCCCCTGGAAGGAGAACCCACCATGTGATCTAATGGGAGCACATGGCACCTACCGTTGTCCCCAGCCTCTGGGACTGCCACCAAAAAAACAAATGCTGAGACAAAGAGTCACGTTTAATATCCTGTTTTGGTGATTTCTAAAATAGGATTGTGACAAATGGAACCCGATCAGTTCTCACTGACTCTCTGCCCATCTGTTTCTGTTTCCTTTGTGTGTTTGCTCTGTCAGAGCAAATATTTATCAGTTGAGGTGACGAAAGGCACTGAAGCATGGAATGATGGGTGTGTGCTGGGCTCCTCTTCACGTGAGGGTGGTTTGTCCCTACATCAAAAGAAGAGGTGTTGGGGCAGAGGGCTTAAAATCCGACAGACATTGATTGGAACTTTGGCTCTAAGTAGCTCTGTGCTGGAACCGTGTTGCTTTCCTTCTCAGAGCCTCAGTTTCATTGTAAAAGGAGGAGGAAGGTGCCTCCAGGCAGGGTTGTGTCCACAGCGGAGGACCCAGGTTGTTGCTCAATACACGATGGTCCCTTCCCTCCTCAAAGCCTTGAACAGAGCAAACGGGTGTCTGTGTAACCACATTTTTCTTCTATACTTTATAGACTCCAAATAAATAGCATCAGGTAATAGTCATGTTAACAGGAGGGCTATTGCCCCATTAAAGTTGTAAAGCAAGTTTCTCCCATCTTTGTTTTAAACCATGTCCGCCCATACGCACACATTCTGTGGTGTGAAATCCCGATGCCTCCACCTTCCCCTTCCCTATTTGTGGGCTGTTTCTCTTGGCAGCAGCCTAGAATCCAGGCCTTCGATGGTTGAAGCGATTGCTACCCCTTTCTGTGTGTGAGAGCAAGAGAAGCGGGTGGAGGGAAGGGACAGGAGCTCGGGAAGAGGTGATTAACACATATTTCCCTGGTACGTCATGCTGCTTCCATGGGCATGGGCATGGGTATGGGCATCCTAACCCCGGGGTGTTTCCTCTCCTAAGCAGAAGGCACTGGGATTGATTTAACAGAATTTTTTTTTTTTTTGGCTACTGTTATTTAAGGCTTTCTTTTGGGTAGGTATGATACCATAATATCTTGGGGGTATTTGATCCTTAAACAGCACCTACCTGATCACACTTGCTTGACCTCCTTCCCAATCTCAGACATTTCTCATGATCAGTCACCTTGATTGGAACTCAGGCTGGTGTCTCTGGATTCAGACCTTGAATCCAGAGACCTCAGATCTCGCTGTGTAAGGGATGGAGGGCTTGGTGGTGGTGAGGTAGGGAGTGGCAATTCGAATTGAAGGTGTCCCTGAGATTCTGACCCCATTCTTCCTTTCCTCTTCCACTTAGGAACTTCTGCCCAATCCCTGGGGTGGTGAGGCTGTAACCACAAAGGTATAAGAGAAGACGACTAGTTTTTTAATGGGTAAATGATATTTATTTTTATTTTTATTTTTTTACTTCAGTAGGTTTCTGGGGGAATAGGTGGTATTTGATTACATGAATAAGTTTTTTTTTTTTTTGAGATGGAGTCTTGCTGTGTTGCCCAGGCTGGAGTGCAGTGGCACAATCTCAGCTCACTGCAAGCTCTGCCTCCTGGGTTCACGCCATTCTCCTGCCTCAGCCTCCCGAGTAGCTGGGGCTACAGGCGCCCACCGCCAGGTTCGGCTAATTTTTTTTGTATTTTTTAGTACAGATGGGGTTTCACCATGTTAGCCAGGATGGTCTCGATCTCCTGACCTGGTGATCTGCCCGCCTCAGCCTCCCAAAGTGCTGGGATTACAGGCGTGAGCCACCACGCCCGGCCTTGAATAAGTTCTTTAGCAGTGATTTTTGAGATTTTGATACATCACCCAAGCAGTGTACACTATACCCAATGTGTATGTAGTCTTTTATCCCTCACCCCCCTCCCACCCTTACCTTGAGTCCTCAAAGACTAATGTATCATTCTTATTCCTTTGCATCCTCATAGATTAGCTCCCACATATAAGTGAGAACACACGATGTTTGGTTTTCCATTCCTGAGTTACATCACTTAGAATAATGGTCTCCAATTCCATCCAGGTTGCTGCGAATGCCATTATTTGAAATTTGTCTGGTAGGCTGGGAGGTAAAGTAGTGGGGCAAGGCAGAGAGTGAGGAACAGGCTTGCAGGATGCTCCAGAACCCAGCATGTTACCAAAGGCAGCAGTTGTCAGTTACATTCCCATGCTGGCCAGGGTTCAAGGGCCCGGAGCAGGGTACTTTTAAGAGATGCTGGTATTAATATTGGACCAGAAGTTGTCTGTGGTATAAACAGTGCCTTCATCCAACTTCATTCTTTAATTACCTTTTTAAAAATTGTATTATTTATTTATTTCGAGACAGGCTTATAAGACTGGCTAATTTTTGTATTTTTTGTAGAGTCGAGTTTTTTCCATGTTGCCCAAGCTGGTCTAGAACTCCTGCTCTCAAGCGATCTACCTGACTTGGCCTCCCAAAGCGCTGGGATTACAGGAGTGAGTCATTGTGCTCTGCCTTTGATTACCTTTCTTCCACGCACAGAGGCTTTGGATGAGGTTGTATGCATGCATGTAAACTAGAGAAAGATTTCAAGCAAACACATAATATAGGAATGTTGTAACCCAACAGGCGCTTTCCATTCATTCACTCATTCATTCATTCATAAAGTCTTATCAAACATTTATTATGTGTTCCAGGATATAGTGGTGAAAATAATGAACACATTTGTTATCTGGGGCTTACCTGTCAATATTAGACATTAATCAAATAATTGCACAGATAAACATATAATTTCACAGTGTGCTCAGTGTTGTGAAGGAGAGCACAGTGACATGAAAGAGGATATAGGGAATAAGGGGTTTTCCTGAGAAAGTGACATCTGAGCCAGGACTTGAAAGATGAGTAGAGGATAAGGAAGCAGAGGCAGGATGGGGTTGGGGAGACTGGGGTGGGAAAAAGCCAGTCTAGATGATGGAATGGTAGAATGAAATGTTTTAGGGCATCCTAGTGGAGGTGAGTGGAGTTTTGGGGGGCACTGCTACAAACCCCCTGTGTATCATAGATGTCAGGAGTCTGAGGATGGGCAGGTTCCCCCTAGATCCAGCACTTCCAGCAAGTGACCCTCTAACTGGTAGCTAGGTTTGTAGAAATAACCCTCTTTCCCAATTGTTTATATACTTCTTTGTTCTGCAGACAAAAGCATTTTTGATGTTATGTGAAAATGTGGGTTTTAAGTGTGGCGATTGCATGAAAGTATAGGCTGACTTGCTCTGCTTGGAATAATGATTGGAAGAGTGGCAGGTGGGGTCAGGAAGGTGGTTTGGGAGTGAAGATGGGGGAATAAGGAATGGAAAGAAGAGAGGATACTCCCTAAGCAAGGCTGGTGTCCTTGTGGGAGGCGGGAGCGTTAAGCAACACTAAGTATGAAATCTGGGACATGAGCCACCGTCGTAACTGCAGTGGAATGAGGTTGCTCCCATGACCAGTCAGAAAGGACCACGTTGCCCCAAGGCTGGTGATAAGGGGAATGGGGAACCTCTCCAGTTTGGAAGTTAAATATCACAATTCACTACCTAGCAGTTGCCTCCTAGGATCTGTGACTAAGCTACGCATCAATTTACTGGAGTTGGCTTCTGCCTCAGATTCTTCAAGCCCCACACAGGCTGCTGGATTCTCCAGTCTTCCAAGCTGGCCCTGAGTGTTAAGATTCAGACAACTCAACATGGAAAGAGAACATGCCTGGGGCCGAGGGGCTCGGCTACTCTCCCATAACAGCGAACAGGAATTCCAGGAAAGCACTGGGCTTGGGGTCAGAGGGCGTGCGCTTGCGACTGCTACTGATTCATTGGCCTCACAAAAACATTTACTAATTATAATGATAACCATAATGTTTATAGTTTACATAGGATTAAATTACAAACTCTCACATGCCAGGAGTTGCACTAAGTGTGTTACCTCCAACAGGGTTCAAATATTCCCATTTCACTCATGGGAAAGAAAATTACTAAGTGCAATGTGTTGAATAGTGTCCCTGGAAAGATCTGTCCAAGTGTTCAACCCTAGTTTCTGTGAATGCGGCATTATTTGGAAATAGGGTCTTTATACATATCATTAAGTTAAGGATCTCCAGATGAAGTCCTCCTGGATTTAGGGTGGGCTTTTCTTTACAGGGAAGGAGAGGGAGGTTTGACAGAAAGACACACAGAGAAGGCAGCCATGTGAAGACAAGGCAAGGATTGGAGTTCCTCAGCAACAAACCAAGGAACACCCACGGTTGGCAGAAGCCAGCAGAACCCAGGAGAGAGGCATGGGACAGCTCTCCTGTAGAGCCTCCAGAGGGAACCAACCTTGCCGGCACCTCGACTTCGGACTTCTGGTCTCCAGAATTGTGACAGAATAAATTTCTGTTGTTTGAAGCCACGCAGATTGTGGTAATTTGTTACAGTAGTCCTAGGAAGCTCATACACTTTCTCAAGGACATCTAGACAGTAAAAAGTAAGCCAGGATTTAAACCCAGATCTGCGAACTTCAGGTCCCTAGCAAATATGCCATATGAAGTCTTCGGCTCATTTCCTTAACAGAAAAGTGGAGGGTTAAATTCTGTAACCTGAGATCCCTTTGAATGCTGTGTCTGTGGATTCAAGGGCCAATCTAAAAGTGAGATCTGAAGGTGAGATTCAGTCTTGTACCTGAGGAGGCAACTGTGACCACCACTGGGCTCCAAGGACCTCATGTCTGAGAATTCTCTGGTGATAGTGACTCAATGTCTCCATTCATTGTGTAGCAGGAGACCAAGGTGAGATAGAAATAAAAGGAGAGAGAAGAATACAATCTAATATCTGGGTCGCAAAAACCATTTATCCTAATGCCAAATTGGAAGGACCCAACAGTGTGATAGAGAACACATTCAAATGAGCACACTGTGGGATGGGACTGCATCAGGCCAGGCAGTGTTTGCAGATACAGATGCTCAAAGCAGGGGTGGGAGAGTTCTCTGTTATATTCTGCTCCTGCCACACCCAGTGCCTTGGGGGGGTGGGATCAAGGGTAGCTAATTCCTTAAAGAGGGACAAGGATGGCCAAAGCCCTTTGAGATGGGAGAAAACACCTATGAGTGAAAGACATGGCTGACGTATCAAAGAACGGTCATATACATTGTGATGCCATTTCACCAACAAACCAATTATACAGAGGGAGGGGCCACAGGAAGAGGGTCTAAGGAAGGGATTTGTAATGATCAGAGCTGTCTAGAAGTGAAGGACCTATCATTGATCAGTAAAGCATTCCTTATTATTGGACATGAACCAAAACTATCCTGGGGACCATTTGTTAGAGCTGTGGTAGTAGGTTTTGGATCATCAGATGAGATGCTGGATGGGATAGTTTTATATTTCCTGTCAACTCGAAGAGGCAGGGATTCTAACGTCTGGCATTTCAATGCCTTCTCCCCTTTCTGGACTGCCTGCCCCTCTCTGTAGTTTTTGTGGGATGGTTTTGGCCAGATCCTGTCGAAGGACCTGAGATTCATTCAGAAGAGGCACTGAGGGTAGTCTGTGTTGGGATGCGATGCTCCAGAGATTGGGGCAAAATATGTACCTGAAAGAGCTGGAATTAGTGTCATCTAAGGGCTAAGCTTAAGTCCTGGGAGCAGGGTGTGGCCCTTCACAGGAGAAGGGGACAAAAGGTCAGAAGCCGTAAAGGAGGAGCCAGGAAGAAAATGGAATATAAAATGGGTAAAAATGAATGACTTGGGAAAATGGAGAAAGGGAGGGCGTGAGACACACACACACACACACACACACACACACACACGAGAGAGATGGGCTCAGAACAGAGCCTCTCCCCAGCAGCGGGGGCAGCCCACAGCTACTCTGTTCTTGGGCAGTGGTCTCTGAATAGCAGAATGCACATGGATGTTGGAGTTCCCAGATCTAACCCATCAGGAGTGCGGGGCCAGTTTGGAAGGTTTCCTGTCTTGTTTAGGGAAGTCACCCATGGACAGTCCAGAGTATTTCTGGATAATCTAGTAGTGAATTTGAGAAGATAACAGAGGGACCAGGGAGTTCAGTTAGAATGACAAGAAGACTGTGATCTGGTCCCATTTTCCAGAAGAGCAAACCTTCCCAGGGAGCTTACTTAACGAACTCACCATGCTGGGTGCTGGGCTGAGCATCTCCTGCACTTGGACATATTAGTGGCAGCAACAACTTTGTGTGATGGCAGCTGTTTCTTGTTTTAATTTTACAGTCAATGAAAATGATAGTTGAAGCCATTCAGCTGCTAAGTGGCTAAGTTGGCCGTCAAGCCTGGGTGGGCCTGACCTTGAGGCTGGTGCCTCACCACTCCTTGGGCCTGAGGTGCTCAGGCCACAGGGTGTTAATGCTGGAAAAGACACCAGAGATTCTCTCCCGCAAGCTGTAGTTTCTTTTTTTTGTTGTTGTTGTTGTTT